ATTATCCTCTTAAAGATTTTAAATTCGAATAACTATATATGTAAATTATATATTAATTATCAATTAATTAGAATTTTTTAAATAAATACTATATACCGAAATCGATCTAGAGTAATAAAAATATTTATTATATTATCATAATACTTTAGGGTTTTAAAGAATTGTTTTACCTAAATGTATTATTTTTAAAATTAAATGTGATAGTGACGCTTATCTCTAACTATTTTTTGAAATGACATGTTTCAGGCTGTAGAGAGAGAAGTTCAAAAAATGGTGGCATTATTCATTAGGGTAAATTATGTATTTAGTACCCAGATCATCAGTTTGGATCCGTTTTAGTACCTAAATTTTTATTTTTTAAAACTTAACATTAAATTTATAAAGTACTATATGTTCTAAATACTCTCAATTATTTAATAATGAATGTTCAATCATCCTACTGCAATCGCTGGTGCTTGAACCCTTGATCTTTAGAAACAACAACGATTCATTTAACCACTGAGATATTTTGGTTCGTGCTATCAATTATGAAATACGTAAACTATTATATGTTCTTAAATTATATTTAAAAATAAAAAAAATAATATTTAACAGTTTTTAAATTTAGTTTGTGAAAAGTAACAAACTCAATGTGTAAGATAATTTCTAGACGTTTTGACTCATTAAGGGGAAATTAACTTGATAAGTTAATAATTAGTCTAAAATTTTATTTAATAAAAAATAATTCCCATTAATCAAGTATATAGTTATCATCACTAATGATAATCCTTATTCCTTTTGACTCTTTAACATTGGGTATCTGTCATGATTTAAACCATCAATCGATCTTTGATTTTCTATTTTTTAATAAAATAAATAAATGATTAAAAATATCATGAATAAAATATGAAATATGGAATATTCTTAAAAATATCATGAATAATATATTTTTTTTAAAACTAAAATCTTAACATAAAATTTTAAAGTCAACTATTATTGTATTTTCTTCACCATGTGTCGTCCGGGTAGTTCTGCTATACGACAGTTTTAATATACGGTTAAAGAAAAATTTTATTGGAAGCGTTAATATTTTTTAAAATTTCCGGTAAAGCGATACCTAAAACATTATTTTTTACCGAAAATGTTAATTTCGCTAACTAATTTCCGGTAGAACCTAATATTAATATTTTCGGTAGAAAAAATAATGTTTTAGGTAGTGCTTTACCGGAAAAGTTAAACATTTTAGGTAGTGCCAATATTAACATTTTCGGTAGAAAAAAAATAATGTTTTAGACAACGCTTTACCATGAATATTAAAAAAATATTAATATTTCTGATAACATCTTTTCTTAAACATATATTAAAACTGACGTACCTAAAACATCCCGTGCCGTCCACCTTAAACCAAACCTGTGTCGTATTCTAAATAATTATTCATTCATAACTTGGCCTACGTCTTAAATTGGCCGATCTTTTACAACATTAAATCGGCCCCCTGTAATTTTTGTTACGGCAATTTTTTTCTAATAATGTAAATGATTTAAAAAATAATAATAATACGATTCTAAAATTATTTATTTGAATGAAGTATTTATTATCGTAATCATGAAAAACACATGAATTAATGGTTGAATTAAAATCCATAATTATTTGCATATATTTATAATGCATATTGTTATCATAACATAAATTAAGTAATCAATTATGTTATAAAGTCATAAGATATTAAAGTGTAATGGAAACAAAAGTATATATATTATTAAAGTTTTATTTATAACTTGACGAGGGACATAGTTATAAATATAGACAATAACTGATTCTTAAATCAACTATATAAATGAGTTATGATCCCCAAGAAATAGGTATTCTCGTATTTACTCTTATTTTATTTTCGTCAGAGAGTTTATACTCAATAGAACTCTATTATCTTGGAAGATCACAACTAAAGAAAGATTCAAGTGTTTCAACCTATCAATTAATTTAGGTACGCTCCCGCTCCTTGATGGTTTGACATGATTAGATCATGATTATTTTTTATGGTTTAGTTCTAACAAATAATATCATCGTCTCGTCATGTTAAATCATTGAGAATTGATTGATTTTAAGGTTTATTAACGAAAGTTATATTTTTATTCGTCTTCGATACGCATTATTGTTGTGCTGTTGAATACGATTTTGCATTGTTTTGAATATTAGTAACTTCAATTCGATTTCGCTCGTGTGATTGTTGTTGAACTGAGTTATTGCAAATGGCATTGCTTCTTCATTAACTTTTGAATTGAATTATAATGGTGCATGGCATACGTTATTTTTTTTCTTAGTAAGGGAAAATTTGGTGTTAAGTCCCTTTATATTTTTGATTTGTTCAATTTGATCCATATGAACTTCTGTCATAAAAAAACTGTATCCGGTTAAAATTGTTCATGGTTCAAGAGTTTACGGAATAATGTCATTGTTTGATATAAATCAGGGTAGTTTTAAAATTGAATTGTGCTATTTATGCAATTTTCTTTACGGAATTCTGGTTACAAGTAATTGATCATTCTGTGATGATCAATGATTAATAAATTTTTGAGGAATAGTCAAAGATTTAAGTTTTTCGGTTTCTAATAACGTCTTTTAAACAATCTTATTATGAGTTATTTCGGAAATTATGAGGTGATTAGAAAATTTTGTTATGATTTTTGAATGTTATGAATTATATAATATATATTTGGAATTGATATATTCGATTTAGTTTAGAAAAGTTTTAATTCACTAGTGTGTATTTTGGCATTTACTTTTGCTTAAATGTTAATTTGAATTCGGTTTATTTTTGGTGATTTATGAAGTTATGTATTAATTGCATGTTTAAGGAATTCTTCAGAAATAATAAAAAACTTGAGCTTTCCGATTTCTGATAGCATCGCTTATGTAACCTCATTTTGGGTTATTTCGGATACTGTAGTGTAATCAGAAATTTCAGTTTCACCTTTGATTGTTATAGAAATATTAAATTTGAATACTAACATTCATTTTGAGATGACTTGATTAAATCAATAAGTCGATAAAGTGGCTTCCGCTGTGGAAAACATATTTTTTTTTAAATATGAAGGATTATATGCATGTAACTTAGGATATGTTAGTATTGATCGATCCAAAGAAGATTAATAGTTGACATAATCACATGTACAACTTTGGTAACAAGCATGTGATAATTCTTCATTTTGATGTGTGAGTAATAAATCGACTCAACGAAAGATTTTGGTTTGACATGTTCTTATTATCAATGTTTGGTTACCGTCTTAGATATCAATTAAAGTGAATATTTTGTCTAAAGGAAATAACCATCCATCTCAGTTGGTAGAGCACAAGGTTCTTAACTTTGAGGTCGTGAGATCGAGTCCCATTGAGGGCATTTCATAATTTGGAGGTCTCCTACGGAAGTTGCTCTCAACCTAGTGTTGGGGCAACCTACTATCTTACCTCCTCCTTACCCCATTACATATGGGAACAAGGGACATCCGTTTTGTCTGAAGATGAATATTAATGAAGTATTTGATATTTTGAAATAAGGTTTAAGTGTATTCAAATTTATTATTATTTTGGTTATCTTTTAATTTAAGTAAAAGATAAATTAATAGAGATAAATTGGTTGACAATATTTATATGGTTTTATTTATATTGTTAATGTAATATATGTATATATTGAATTCGGTTTTCGGTTTTGATTGTTGATTATTAAAATATATGTATTTTGAAATAAATTAATTCGTATTATGGCTATGTCTATTAATAAATGCATGAAAAACAAGAAACACATATGTATTCTATTGTGGTATATGAGCAAGTAGTTCAAATTTGGTTAAAAAACAAACTTACAATAAATAATGAATTTAAAAAATAATAAAAATATGAAAAATTAAGGGATTAAATTGAAAAATAAAAATATTATTATCAAAAAGAGATTGAAAGTACATATGTATTCTACAATGATTTATGAACATGTGATTCAAATTTAGTAAGAGATGAACTTAAAATAAATGATGAATTTTATAAATAAGAAAAATATGAAAAATCAAGGGACTAAATTGAAAAATAAAAAAATTGTTACAAAAAAGAGGAATTGAAAGTACATATGTATTCTACGATGATTTATGGGTATGTAATTCAAATTTGGTAAAAAAAAATAGACTTAAAATGAAAGAGAAAATGAAGGGATATTGAAATGAGAGACTAAATCATAAAACTGTCAAAATACTTATTCAAATTTTTTATTTTTTGAGTAACTCGAAATTTCAAAATTTCAACTTGACTCAAATTCAAAACCCGAATTTATAATTTAAGTTGACTCAAATAACTTGACTCGAATAACTCAATTTTTTTTTTATTTTTCGAGTCGAGTTTACTCACCCTATCGTATGTGTTTGTTTACGTTCATTTATGTTAGTTTACATCCGTTCACGTTCATTTATCATTTAAATGAACAAACATGAACTAACACGAACAAACTACATTCCTTGATGAACGAACACGAACAATAAATTTTTTATTCGTTTATGTTCATATTCATTCATTTGTTCAGTTAAAATTAAACTAACGAACATGAACATACCTCATTCGTGATTGTTCAGTTCGTTTACATACCTAGTCCACTATAAGGGCAATCCTTTCAATCTATTTTATTTAAATTTATTAAATTAAATCTTAAGAAACTTTGTTACCAAATTTCATTTTAAAATTAAGTTCAACTATCAAAATATTATTATTATATTTATCTTTAGATAATATATTAATTTTATTTATTTTAAATGACCATCTAGTTCAGTTAGTAGAGCACAAAGTTTTTAACCTTGAGATCGTGGGATCAAGTCTCATGGAAGACATTTCATAATTTGGAAGTCTCCTACGGAAGCTGCTCTCAACCTAGTATTGGGGGCAGCCTACTATCTTACCTCCCCTTACCCCATTACATATGGGAATAAGAGACAACCATTTTTTTTATTTTAAATGTATTTATATTATAAAAGATATAAAACTAACCCACCAAATCATATTTACAGCACCGGAGCCAAAGGAACAACAGTATCTGGAAAATCTGTTCTGGGTCCGGCTAGGGAGTAGTAGGCGAGTATATGAGCCGGATGTTGTGGAACTTTATGTCCAAGTTGATTAGTCGTAATGACTCGTCTCGCGGGAATTAGCTCGATATTCCAGAACGGACGAGCCATGGCTAACAGATCGCGACCTGATTGTGATGATGCTTCATATCCTTGCACCCATAAGTACCTCAAAGAAGGTAATTGCAACGCGGCATATGCAAGTGCGCGCTCGCTGAAGTAGCAGTCCCTCATCTCGAGTTTCTGCAAGCTAGGACATCCCTTGGAGAACTCCAGCAGTCCGTTATCGGAGTCCCCAACATATCCCAGAAGCATCCATCTCACGTTCGGACTATATCGCCCGATATAACCGAGTCCCACATCAGTCAAACCACCAGGTCGGAGATAGAGTGCAAATCTTCTAAGCTTTTCACAGCCTCTCAGTAGAGCTCGTACTCCATTGTCAAGAGGCAAGTCTGTTATCCTTTCTTCTCCGTCAAGCAAAACTAGGCGAAAATCAGAGAGATTTTTGGAATAAGTCCCGACGGATTCCAATGATGCATTCGTGATGTTTGATACATAAATGGCTATATATTCCAATTCAAGGCATCCCTGAGCTAAAGCTGTTAATCCTCTATGCGAAACCACGCCTTCTTCATCCCCCATTAATTGCTCATCCGCTCCTCGCTCGATTCTAAGCCGCTTTAGTTTCTTACAGCTTTGAGCAAGAACTTCTAATCCTGTATCTCCAATAACATTCCTTGTCTGTCCATCAAGAAAACACATTTAGTAAGACGTGATCGAAAATTAAGAACGAAGGCTAACAGCATGTCGTTTACCAGAAACCTCTTTTGGTCATTCAGCACATTCAATTACTGAAAATGTCAATGACAGATAAAATTTGTCACAAGAAATGCTAACATTCTATAACATAATGCCAAAGTTCATTCAAAACAACATTACTTGAAACACAGAAACTAATAGACAGACCAAAGAACGAGATAAGAATCGGAATCCACAAAAAACAGTGCAGCAAAACGTTAAGAAATAGTCATAGATTCATGATCCTACCTCGAAAACTTCCAAGTTCGGGCATCGCTTAATTAACAAGCAATGATCTTCTGTGTCAAGCAACGCATAGAGAAGATCCAACTTTTTAAGCGACGATGCAAAAGGAAACACGATCGGCATTTCATGGCTCCCTATATATGTTAAGCCCAAACGGCATAACTTCGGGGGAAACCTTACAACATTATACCTGTCCGATTGCTCATTGAAAGAACCCCCACAGAATTCTTCTAAAACAGAAGCAGTACGAAAGAAGCCAACAAGATCCAGGATCTCACAATCACTAACTTTCACAGAGGTCAAGTTGCTACAATTTCGGGCAATCTGTTCAAGGTCTTTGAAGCTCACTCGGAAAAGATCAGTCATGTAAAAGTTCAAAGTCTCGAGAACATAGTTATTCATCGCTATCTCGTGAAGCCATTTTCCATCTCTCTCGATAATTGAGCTCTCTTCTAAAAACAAGGTTCTTAGTTGCCTGCAGAAACATATCAAGGTTTAAAGCCATACACAATGAATTCAGTATCTACTAATATAACACCAGAAGCATAACTAGCTAACCCTTTATCTTTTACTTCTTTGCCGATTCATCGAGTTTTAATAGCTATGAAACCATTTTTTCGTATGAAATCTCAAACTCGAACCATCTCCTGATGGACCACAGCACATGGACTTTTATAAATGAATATCATTAATTGATCGATCACGCAAAAGCTCGGCCATTGCTATCATTTATACTAGAGTACCTTGCTGCAACCACAGTATCTCATAAATATTCATGACATTCTCTAATAAACTTGAAGCATTTAAAACAACAAGAAACAAATCCCCACTGGTGTTTCGAGACGAGAAAGAATAAGTGCGAATTTAAGCTCCACCGCTCTCCGACACATGTAAAACATCGACAATTCACGGGATGAGGCGATCACCATACTCGTATCACATGTATAAATCCGATTCTTACACCCAGAAATAGAAAGATCTACCTCATTTTCAAACAATAGAGAATTTACAAATACAAATCCAGTTGTGTAGTTAGTATTTTCAGCCAAAACTTACCATCTACCCAATCATATCAAATTCAGAAACAAAATCATTAAGCATACATTATAGTAAGCAAATTCAGGAGGAAAATCTAACAGCATCAATGATTAGACTCGAATTAAAGAATGAATTTAATCGCAATTAATAAGCAAAATTAATACCATCTAGCTTACAACTAGTAAATTAAGCATTAGGATTTAAAAAGGAAATCGAGAATTACCGGCACATGCTTCCAATATGGAAGAGTCCATCAGTTGAAAACCCAGAGCATTTATCAAGCTTCAAAGCCTGCAAAACTCTCCCCCTAGACCGAGCCAAAACCTTGAGATCCGAATCTCTAACAATCATCCTCCTAAAATGAAGTGATCTCAAGCAATCGAAGTTCTCCGCTATTTCCCTCACCCACGGCGTGACGTACCCTCCCCAATCATCGGGTATCAGATTGAACATCGCCGCCCAAGGCTTTCCCTTCAGCTTCAACGATTCCAGGAACGGAAAACGCCGCTGCAACCGATCTGTCGTAATCGCGTAACAAAACGCGATGGTTATGTGCTTGCGCGACAACGACTCGAGCTCGTACCACCTCCGGCAGACGAGCGAAATGGCGGCTCGGTCCCTCGGGTCGTGTACGTACGACAAGGCGCTTACCAATATGGATTCGGACATGCCATCACCGAACGACGCCGTTCTGTGCAGATTGTTATCATCTTCCTCCATCCGAATAATCGAACCGGCTGCTTCAAAAAAAATCGAACCAGGTTAAAAAGGACCGGGACAGTTTTCTTTTCGGCCAGAAAAACGAGAAAATAAAATAAAAATCCGATCTGTAACGAACCAAGGAAAAGGTTCACTTGATCGCACACACAAAACTGAAGAAAGTAAAGCTGGGAAGCCTTTTATAATAGATTAGAGCTTGTTTTTATCTAACATTATTTTTTGAATGTAATCATTCGAATTCGATTTATTAATCGATTAATTTCGATCAAATATTATACTGTTGATTGTATAATATTTTTTTTGTATAATCACCGATATATGAGCTACTGATCGACTAGTTGAGATTGGATACTGTAAGACAATGACAAACCTCTCAGCCCAATTTGCTTCATTTGCAAGCGTCAAGATTCGAACTACTAAACTTACTTAAGAGATTTAATGTCTTATCTCACTATAGCGATGGGTTGTTGGTGTTTATATAATTTAAAATATAAAATAAAAACAGAGGGTGATCGAACACCACCACCTGTTGCCTTCGACAAAGTTAGATGGTGGTCGTTTGATCCCAAATTTCATGGGTTGGTTCGCCTCGACACCGTGAGTCTGAATTCGACCTCCATTTTGTCGGAACTTGCTCCGAAGTTCACAAATTGAAGATTGAAAGTGAAGAAGCTGAAATGTTTAAGTCTAGAGATTCAAGGTTTTTGAGACATTTTTCAGTGAAACAACCACCATATTTAGACTTAGGAGGTAACGAACCAACCCATGAAATTTGGGATTGAACGACCACTATCTACAACAGTCGACGATTGTCGGAGGCGATGTCTGGCCACCTTCTGTCTTTATTTTATAATTTTAATTATTTTATATTAAATACTAATAAGAAATATCATGTCATAAGAAAATAATAATAAAATAATTCAGAGTGATCAAAACATGAGCAATTCGAAAGTTCACTGAGCAAAATAAAAAAATTGAAAGTATGGTGAATAAAATAAGAGAGAAAGTAAAGTTAAGTGAGAAACGATGTAATTTACCTATTATAAAATATCTAATACTTTCTTATAAAACTCAATTATTGTCATCCACCATCTGACCCTAGATGTAACATCTCAAATTCCGAGCTAATAGTTTCAAATTTACCCGAAGGACACTTTAAGTCGTTGGGTTGAGTTGGGCTTAATTAGGTTAGACTTGTGCCTAATTAGCCATAAAAAAAAGTTTTTAAATAGTGGAAAGATGAGAAGGGACCAAAAGCATATTTTTCCCATTTTAAAAAGGTGAAGGCTTTTTATCTCTTCTCATTTTCTTCTCTCCCATTCTCCTCTCCAAGTGCCATAGCTAAGGGTAAGTTGCTTGGGCCTTTTTCATATTTCTTTAAACTTCAACTTCATCCTCAATCCTTCCAGCAAACTTGTTTTGATGTTTCAAAACCTTGGGTTCCTTTTAGCTAAAGAGAAAATGGGGGTTTTCATCCAAATCTTAGAGGAAGGAAGTGTGACTAAGCAAGGAGTTTCATTTCGGGATCCTAACATTAAGGTAGTGTATTTATAAACCTTTAAAGTGTTAAAACTTTTATAAATATGAAGAATTGCTAAGATTTGAGTAGTTCAACATTTTAAGGTTTATACTTCATTTAATAACTAAATGACGTTTTAGACGTAAAGAAGATGTTTTTATGCCACTTTATAATTATAAGTAGCTCCCTAAAGCTTTAGCACTTGATTAAGAACCAAACTAAGATCTTTAGGATGAATTTTGGGTGTTTCCCGAGCCTAAACAAGTCATTTCTAGGTTCGAGTATCGATATTGGATGAATAATATCGATATTGAATGAATTGGGTTGAAATCTAAGCATTTTAGGCATGAAGCATTGATACCGTTAGGAAAAATATCGATACTACCTACAGTATCGATACTCAAGGTAACAATATCGATACTAGACCACATTTTCAACAACAAAACCTCTTTTTGGTACTGATACTCATAGGGCCATCAATACTTGACTCTAGGGCATCGATGATACAAGTAGAGTATCGATACTACCCACTTTGGATTGTTAGATTTGAGCTTTTTAAGGCACGTAAAAGCTAAGGATGATCCAGAATAAGAGAACATAGTCCGTAAGGAACAAAAAGGACCAAGAGGGCCTAAAAACACTCGTACGAGTGGGTTACAACCGATGTAACCATACAAAACGTAATATGTTAAAGTATCTTAAGTCAAGCACGTATTGAATAGTTAAGAATGAAGATTGTTACAGAGGATGTACTGATAAGCGATACGATAAGTCAGATTCAAAAATAACGAAAAGTGTGTACTTCAAGAACGTCAACGAACTGAGAATGCATAAGCCGTCCCTCCAATTCAAGGGATATTAGGATGAAGTACCGACAAGAGCGATTAGAGTGTTGCTACTCAATAATGAACCCGAGTTAGGTGTCAGGCTAACTAATGATACAACCAGTGAACAAGAAACACAGTAATCGTCGTTAAGTCATGAAACACATAGAGACCTCTTTAGAGGCAGAAGTGACTAACATACCCTTAAGTAACGAATGATCAGAATTAACTTAATAACTAACAACAATAACAGACTAATAAACCCTTACATAACATTCTAGATAATAGAACGAGCGATAACAACTAATAGGAGGATGACCTCACTTTAGCATGTCCAACTATGTTAGGGTGTAACCAAGTTACCTTAGTTGCCCTACTGGGGCATTGTCAGTGCGCGAGACACTTCAAGGACTAACTAGGACGCGAGACCTGAACACTCACGAGAAGTGGGTTAGCGATGCCAGTGTTGTGTGGCCTTGGGGCCCTTAGGAATGCATGAGTAGTTGCATCAATCCAGTATAGTAGTTACCAGTAAAGCTTGGCTTGATGCTATATGTGATACCAAGCCAATGCTTCAGTTGAGCGGGAATTTCCGATGCTATGAGATACCAGACTTCTCCCTCCATGGTCTACCTCATGCTATGTGATACCATGACACATTCAACAACTTAGAGGAGACTTTACCGATGCTATGCAATACTGGTACCTCCTCTCAGTAGGCTAGTATCTAATGCTATTTGAGAATAGATACTAATATAGCAGACTCAGTGTTGCATTCAGATAATGCACGAGTGTCAGTGTTACAATTAGATGTATACTCATGGCGAGGCCCTTAGCAGAGGATTAAAGGAAGCGTAAGACTCCTACTTCAGTGATAAAACAATTGAACTTTAAGTAGGTAGCGCTTGATAAAGATCATGTATGTACATACTACTGAGTACCATGTCTTTAACATGCTTGTGTTTATGAGACTCATAATGTTGCTCTAGATTAGCAATTATACTATTGGGCTTCATAAGTTCAGCGCTCGAATGTTTCTGTTCGTAGGTTTCTAGCTCGGGCAATTTATGGATCACCGTCGCAACAGGATATCCAACATCTCCGTCAAAATACTATACTGTAGCTTTAATGGGCATATGTATTCATAAAAATTTACTCGTGTATTTGGTTTATCGAACTCTGAGTTTGTACTATTTTGATTTTAAATTATGTGTCATGAAGTTCTAATTTTATAAAAATGGTTTTATAACTGTTGTATATATTTGTTTTGGTACGACGTAGTATATTTTGAAAATAAAAATGAACAGGTTTTGAAAATCAAGGGTTAGCACGATAACCCAATGTGACACTTTAGACCCAATCGACTTTAGGGTGTTACACTAGAAACCTAACCTTTGTCTTATTCTAAATATTTTACTTATTAATAACTTGGCCCACATTTAAAAATATATATAAATCACTAGACTTAGTCTTAACTTTTAAATAAATATAAATTTTTAATTTCGGGATATGATCATGTTATACAATGTAAAACTCTTTTAGTTTTACACATATTTAAGACCGTTGGATGAGTGAAAATAGATGACTGAGATTAACAGTAGAAAATGAGAAGATATTCATTGGGAAAAGAAAGAGTCAGTCTCACCCATTTACCTTAAATCATCCAACTATCCTAAATCTGTGTAAAATTAAAGAGTTATACATTGTATACGTGAATCCTAACCATTTAATTTCATCAAATTAAATAATTTAATTTTACGGTAAATTATATGTTTAATACCTAAACTATCAGTTTTGATCCGTTTTAGTACTTAAACTTTCAATTTTTTCAAAATCATACCAAAAGTTTAATTTTTGTTTCATTTTAGTACCCTTATTCAAAATTTAACGTTAATTTCAGAATTTCTTTTGAAAGTTTAGATACTAAAACAGACTAAAAACTGATAGTTTAGGCACTAAACATTTTCTTATTCTTATTTTTAAATTTCAATTATTAAAAAATATATTATTATTAAATTTTTTAACAAAAAATGTTACACTCCTACTTTACATATTTTTCACATGTCAAGAAACAAACTTTTCTTATTCTTTTTGTTAATTTCACAACAAAGGTGGGATATTGCCAATTTGTTGTAATTAATGTTGAATAAAATTAAGTTTTTATTTAAAGGAAAAATTACAAAATTGGTAACTAACTTTACTACCTCTCTTATTTCACTCATTGTACTTTACATCTTTTCAATTTCCTTACTGAACTCAATACATTAGGGTTTTTTTTTGTCACTCGGCCGTAAAATAGTTAACGTTGTTAAAATGAGTTGTTATATAGACGCAAAACGACGTCTTTTTGGTGAAAATTTTGTTTTTTAAACCAAAGACATTTTTAATGTCGTTAACCATTTAACGACAGAGTGACCATAATAAGAGAGGGAGTAAAGTTTATTGAACAAAAAAACTTAATGTATTAAGTACAATTAGGAAATTGAAAACTTTTAAAGTTCAGTGAAGAAATTGAAAACTTTTAAAGTTCACTGAACAAAATAGGGGAGAGATTAAAGTTTAGTGATGAAATTTGTAATTTACCCTTATTAAAAAAACTTCACGACAAACATATTGAAATTAGGGGTGAGCAAAATTCAACTTAACTCGAAAAATTGATTTTTTTCGACTCGAGGAAAATCGACTCGAATTGACTTCAAGTTGTAATTTCATAAACTCGACTCGAAAAAATTTCAAGTTCAAACCCAGTTGTAAAGTACAACTCGAATAAATTGAATTTTTTAATAATTAGTGGATTGATTTTCAAATTTGAGTTAAGTCCCTCGACTCTGTATTATAAATGTATATCACATATAAAAAAATATGAAGAAATACATATGTATTGTATATGGTTACAAAATAACCATTTAAATTGGAATGAAATAATATCATAATATTATAAATATTTATATTTAAATTTAAGCAGAAACTAGAAAATTTAACTTGACTCGAATTTTATAAATTCGACTCAACTCGATAAAATTTTAAGTCAACTTCGAGTTGTAAAATAGAATTCGACAACTCGAATAATTCAAAAAATTTTAACTCGACTCACTTTAACGCTGACCCCTAATTGGAATGCTTCTGAATTCTACACAGCCATTTCTCTTTTTCTTTTTAGCCTCCTTATCTCATCATCTAGTCATTCCTAGCCACTGCTATCCACATCACCATCATAATGTTCTTCATCTACCACACTAGAATAATTAACACATTCGAACCCACCACTACTATGGACATTAAATGTATATTACATATAAAAAAATATGAAGAAATACATATATATTTTATATAGTTACAAAAAACTATTTAAATTGAAATAAAATAATATCATAATATTATAAATATTTATAATTAAATTTAAGCAGAAACTAGAAAATTTAACTTGACTCGACTCGAATTTTATAAATTCGACTCAACTCGATAAAATTTTAAGTCAACTTCGAGTTGTAAAATAAAATTCGACAACTCGAATAATTCAAAAAAATTTAGCTCGACTCACTCTAACGCTCAACCTAATTGGAATGCTTCTGAATTCTACACAACCATTTCTCTTTTTCATTTTAGCCTCCTTATCTCATCATCTAGTCATTCCTAGCCACTGCTATCCACATCACCATCATAATTTTCTTCATCTACCACACTAGAAAAATTAACACCTTCGAACCCACCACTACTATGACCATTAAATTCACTGTCACTAGGGCCGTATCTGGGTCTGAGCAAGAAGGATACTGTTCAGAGCCCAAAATTTGTATAATATCTTATATTTGTAAAAAATAGTTTTTATATGGGGTTTAATTATTTTTAATACTTATTATTAAAGCTTTAATTTTTTTTCAATATTTTTAATACTTACTATTATGGGGTTTAATGAGGAGTCTCTCGAGGCTTCAATCGCTCGAGAAAGTGCAGGTGAAATATGCTCCCCTCTTTCCAATTTTTCTTCAGCGAAGAAGACAATCATCCCTGTGTTTTTCAAAGCTTTGAATAGATGAGAGGTGAAGTTAAGGCGTGTGTCTTTACCCTTAAAGCTACCGAAAAAATTACGCACTCTTCGACAGCGAACAGAAGAAGATGCCGTGGAAGATTCCCTCCTTTGTTTTTCTATTTTCCAACTCGCATTTTGAAGGTAACCATCTTCAAGCTTTAGAGATACTTCCTTGCATATAGCATCATCATGGGTAGTTCCACCTATAACACTTGAAATTGTCTTTTTATGATCAACTACTCCACCCAATTCTTTAGAAGCACTTGCAGAATTGCTATTCTTCAATTTTTCAGTAACACATTCAACAACTTCCTTGATGTACTCGGTTTCAGGTCTAGCATGTAATCAAAATATATGTATAATTATATATAAAATCTAAAAAAAACAAGTACTCAAGTAAGAAGATGAGAAAAATACAATTACCTGTCGAATTTGCCTCCTACTGTATGAGTACGCCACCCTTCTAATTTACCGATTTCAACAAAAGCAGATTTCCTTCTCTCCACTTCATCAAGAGGCCACTTTGACTCATTCTCTTCAAAAGAAGTCTCAAAGGGATCAACATGGTAAAAGATAGGAAGTACAATATGTCCTTGAGTGCGCTTGCAGTCCATTATGTCATAGAGTTCAGCCAAGCATGATTTTGAAGAAGCGTAGTCTTTAGACAAAACAATTATGGAGAGAATTGAGGCTGCAATTGCTTGAGAGAGTGCTGGTGAAAGTTGTTCCCTATTTTCCACTTTTTCTTCATCGAAAAAGAAACTGATTCCTTCGTCTTTCAAAGCTTTGAGTAGATGACTGGTGAAGTTGTGGCGGGTGTCTTCACCGAAGCTCAAGAAAACTTGATGCTTCATCATCAACTTTTGTATAACAGATTCAACAATATCCTTGATGTGTTCGATTTCAGTTCTGGCAAACAATCAAAACAGAAACAGAAATGAAATCTAAAACAAAGATAAGTCAAATATAAAAAGAGAAAGATATAATTACCTGTCGAATTTGCCTCCTTCAATACGCCACCCTTTTAATTTACCGACCTCAGCAAAAGCAGATCTCCATCGATTCACTTCATCAACTGATCTGCTCTTTGATTCGTGCTTTTCAAAGGATGTTTTAAAAATCCCAACAATTTCTCGAACATGAGAAGGATCAACATTGTAGAAGATGGGAAGAACAACAGGTACAGGAGTGCGCTTGCTATCCATGATAACAGAAAGTTCAGTCAGGCACGATTTGGAAGAAGCATAGCCTTTCGATAAAACGACTATTGAGAGATTTGAGGCTGAAATTGCATCTGAGAGTGCTTGTGAAAACTCCTTCCCCTTTTCTAGTTTTTCTTTAATATCGAACAAGACATCAAGGCCCTTGCCTTTCAAAGCTTCGAGTAGATGACCGGTGAAGTTATAGCGCGTGTCTTCTCCTCTGAAACTCAAGAAAACTCGATGAGAGGATGAAGCAGCAGAAGAAGCCATTAGAAGAGAATTGATTGAGTTACTGAAGCAAAAGAGGGAAAATACAGCAAGGAAGCCTCTGGAACAACTACCAGATTTTAGGGATTTTGGTTCTAGGGATTTTGGGTTTGGAGATTAGTCAACTTTTTATAACAATAATGGTTATTAAAAACTACTGAGATAATGCCATTGGATACCTCTTTTTGATATAAGTACCTACTTTTTTTTCAAAGTATAATAATTATAATAAAGATTTATAAGTATAATAAATTAAATATATAATTAGTATATTTTTGTATAATAATTGAAATAAAATTAACAACGTAAGATTAAATAAGGATACGGTAAAGAAAGATTAAAATGTAATCAAGAAATTCGAATAAAAAAAGATAATTACAAGCAAATCTGAATCAAATAAATCACAAAAGAGAATTATTAGGTATGACTCATAAATATACTGGTAAAGAAGACAGAGGATGGAGCGGAGTGAGCGAAGCGAACGCAACGAACATCAACTGTCCTTACAAAGAAAGTCTCGTAGAGGGGTTACGATTATGTGGGTTGGGGGTGCGGGGCCGCGGGGGTGCGATACGGTACAAAGTTAATTATGTAATTGTGTACCAGGTTTTTTATTATAAATAGAGATGTAACCTAAACCTATGAGATATTGAATAAAACTTCTAGCGACGCCTAGGCACTGAGGACGTAAGCACATTGTCGAACCTCGTTAAAAATTCTTGTGTTCTTTCGGTTTCTTTACCCGATTCTTCAACAAGAATCAAACTACTAAAAGACTACCAACAACCCGTAAATCATACTCAAGCGACGTGGAAGATTATCCACAAACGCATAACTGACATTCAAATCCAATTTGAGGGTTCAAAATAGAGAATATCAACAATATAACATATAAACTCCACCTCGATCAATCGTGGCAATGTTAAATTAACCCTTAGAAAAAAGAGAAGTGGAAACAACGGTCAAATGACCAGAAAATGTGTTAAAAGGCAGAAGAAAACGTGTCATACATGTAGATTTATTGAAAAATAAAAAAATACAATAAATAATATTGATAGTCGACAACCAACATCAAAATCAATGTCGCAATTTATAAATAAAAAAGAATAAACATCATACCAAATAGAGAAAACTAAAAAAATATTAAATTCTAGAGTTGTATAACTCTTTATATTATATGCTTACCTTCGTAAAATATTTAATATAGTATTTGTATTTTTAAAATATATAATATTATAGACACTCATTTTCGTCTGCGGCTTATTTAGTATATATATTAATATAGTATAGTTTTTGAAAATATTTTTGAAAAAAATATAATATATAGTTTTTAGAAAACGGGTTTTGAAAAATATATTATATAGTTTTGAAAACGATTTTTGAAAATATATAATATATAGTTTGAAAATCGTTTTTGAAATCATTATATTTTTTAAAAAAGGTTTTTTTTGGAAGCACAATATATTATATTATATAGTTATATATTTCATTTATTTTGATTTATTATTTATTTATTTATTATTATTTTTCTTTTTTCCTTTTTCTTTTATTTCCTTTATCTATGTACATTTCAAGTCTAGATCCAAATCCAAGGCAGCAGGTGAGCCTGTTTGAGCATGCAGGTCTGACCCAACCCGCAAGCTCATTAGGGTTTCCACATATTAACCAGGCGCGCCGAACACAACTCAGATGTCAGATCGGGTGCAAATCAAGGGTCTAGATTGAGGGGTTTTAAACCCTAAATCATGTAGCACTGGAATCGCACATGTGGCGCATGGAAGCCACGCGTAGAGCGTAGAAATCAGCAAGGCCACAACAGGTATCGACCGAGAGGTCCGGCCGAAGAGCCCGGGACTACACCATCCCAGTGTTTTTGGTCAACACACGAATGACCGAATGACCCGAAAATAACGGGAATAACCCGTTGAGGGCGGAAACAAACCACCGACGATGGGGTATAAATACCCTACCAAATTTGTCAAACAGACACAAGAGGCAACCAAGCATCATCGGAGCAAAAAAATAGAAACAACAAGCAACCACAAAGAAAAACAAATTGAAGAGAACCCCTGAAAACAAGAACAAAAAATACGAATAGAAAGCATAGCAAAGTCAAGCAAAAAAAAACAAAAACAATGTTGAAGTAATCGTTGGTCTAGCGTCGGGGGGAGAACGACCGTCGGGAGAACGAAAAGCTTCGCAAAAAAATGTAAAACCCAAGAGTTTTATTCTTAGTTCTACGGCGTTGTGGTTGTTTTTAGGCTATTTAGAGGTTGATCTCGGCTTCGGGGTGTTAAGGGGAACGTTTTGGGGTATTTTTGAATTTTTCGGCCACCTCCTTCAGTGGCCGGAGGGGCGATTGACGGTGGTCCGAATGGTGGGTGGTCACCAGCGGGTGGCCGGGTTTCAGCCGACCTTAGGAGAGGGGAGAGCTTTTTTTTGGAGGAAAAAGTTTTTTTGTGTGAAATGTTTAAAATGATGTTTTTTTTTTGTTTTATGGCTATTTGTAGCCGAGGGACCTTTGTACAAATATCATATTTTTAAATTATTTCTACAGTCCCTGTAAGTTTGAAGTGTAATTCATTTTGGTAACCTGCTGTAAATTTACCCTTGATTTTCGAATTTATTCAATTTAACCCCTATTTACATTTCTTATATTTTGCAATCCAGTCCCCTAACTTTTGTTTTTTCCTTGCATCTCATTTTTAGTATAAATTCAATCTATAAATTTTAATTTATTTGAATTAGATCTTTTTTTAATCTATTTATTGATTTTTTAACCTTTTTTATTTCTTTTTAAAATCATTTTTTGTTTTCTTTTAACATTTTTTATATTTTTTACTTTACAATTTTCCTTTATTTATTTTTTCTCTCTTTTAAATATTTAATATTTTTCCTTCTGATTTTATTTAAATTTTTTTACACATTTTTTAAAAACTTTTTCCCTTATTTTCCTAATTTAATCCTTTTTGTTCTTCTCCTTTATTTATTTATTTTTATTTTACAATCTAACATTATTTTGACTCTTTTTTTAGAGATAGTTTCAATCGATCAAAGGTAAATAATTTGAATCGAGTCTTTAAATTTTAATTTAAATATTAATTTTCACAATTAAGACAACCGATAAATTAAAATGGTACCGGAAGGGCAGTTCAAGGGTGTTAATCTTTCCTTAACTGTAACCGACTCCCGAATCCGACATATTTCTGGTAAAACATAGATCATGTAAGATGGTGTCCGATCAACCTCAATATTTTTTTAAATGATCGGTGGTGACTCTAACATATTTTATTCAAGTCGAAGCCCAATTTCAGGCCCACCCGAAATACGATTACGACAAATATGATTTTCACTATATGCATTTTAAAATATTTGAGGTTAATTTGTTTTGTTGTAATTAATTTTAATGAAATTGGCTACTTTTAATTAAGAAAAAAGAAAATACTTCACAATCGACGTATTGAATCTCGATTAAATTTAGAATCAAGCTAGACCAGATATGTAATTAGTATCATACCAGTTAGAGGTGAGCATTTGATCGAGTCGAGTAAAAAAATTCTAGTTATTCGAGTTGATAAGTCATATTTTACAACTTGGATTTGACTTGAAATTTTTTCGAGTCGAGTCGATTTGATTTTTCAAGTTTTTGTTTAAATTTAATTATAAATATTTATAATATTATAATATTATTTTATTCCAATTTAAGTGATTTTCTATAACCATATATACAATACAAATATATTTATTTATATTATACATATATCATACAAAGTCCAAGGACTCGATTCAAACTTGAAAATAAATCCACTAATTACTAAAAGTTTTGAGTTATTCGAGTTGCATTTTACAACTCGATTTGAACTTGAAATTTTTTCGAATTGAGTCGAGTTTATGAAATTGCAACTCAAAGTGCATTCGAGTCGAGTTTTGCTTACTTCTAATCCCAACATCATCGTCGCATTTCCCTTCAGTGTGCATTTTGTTCACAGAATGTAAGATTACCTTTGAGAATAAGATTACCGGAATGTAATATTACTCTATGAATGTTGTATTACCGTGTTTGGATTGTTTACCAAGAATATAAGATTATAGTGTTTGGTTGGAGGAATATGAGATTAATTGAATGCATATTTTACTAAATTATCATTGTGATATATATTTTTTAACAAATAAAACTTTAATATTAAATTATAAATATTTGTACGAAAATTTATAAAAATATATTTTAATTGTTACACTATCTAAGTTTAAAGAAAATATCCATTTGACATATAATTAATATAATTAGTATATCAAACTTATATTTTTAAATAATTTTCATAAGTATTATATTTATTTATATAAAATATAATATAATATAAAAAATAATATTACTATCTCGAGTGAATAAATATATTATTTTTAAAGTGTAAGATATATTTTTTAATAACTCAAAACTAAATATTATTTTAAGTAATTATATTTGTTACAATATTAACATTTTCACCTTATCAAATTATAAAATGATTAATATACTAAATAGTAAAAATACAAAATATTTTAACTACTTAAATTTATTAATATTTTATTAAATTAAACTTTTTACATATTATTATTATTATTAAGTTTATGATTTTGAGTAAAAATGAAGAATAAAAATTGAGAAGAATCCATATCAAAAAAATATTATTTTAGGGGTATTAGGTCCAAAGTGGTGGGAATGGTTCATTACCTAAGAATTTGTAGATAATGACATTCCCACCATTTTAACTAAAAAAATGCTACTATTGGTAGTAAGTTATTACTTAATAATGATTTTTTTCCTCGAACCAAACATGAGAATACAATTATGGAAAAGATCATTCCCCTTGATAATAATCTTTTCCGCGAACCAAACGCCCCGTCACAAGAATACTTCTGAATCCTATACCATTTCTATGATTCTTTTTAGCCTCCTCGTCTCATCTTCTAGTAACTGCTATCCATATAACCATAATAATTATTTTCATATACCACGTTATAAAAACTAGGGTAAACTACTTGTTTAATATCTAAATTATCAATTTTGTTTTGTTTTAATACCTAAATTTTTATTTGTTTCAAAATCATATTTACTTTTTGTTTCGTTTT